AAAGAATGGAACAGCAATAGCATTTAAAGAGATAACAGCAAACTGATTAAAGATATCAATATACAAATACAAAGTTATTAGGAATCCCAAAAAGGGCTAGCAGTAAATAAACAGCAAAAAATAATCAATAAAGCCGGACATAGAGACATTGCAGAAAAGATAATAAAAACTAAAGATAAAGACAAAACCCTAAAAGATGCCAAAGGAAAAAAGACACATTGCCCTCAATAGAACAATGATAGCATTGGCTGATGGCTGATTTTTCAACAGAAACAATGCAAGTCTGAAGACAATAGAACAATGTTTTAAAGTGATGGGGGGAAAAAACTCTGGAAAATATAGAATTCCATACTCAGTGAAAATATCATTCACAAGTGAAGGCAAGTCTGGGTACAGTGGTTCACACCTGTAATCTCAGCACTTTGGGCAGCTGAAGCAGGAGGATAGCTTGAGCCTTGGAGCTTAGGCAACATAGAAAGACCTTGTCTCTACAAAAATATTTTTAAAATTAGCAGCCATGGTGGTACACGTCTATAGTCCCAGCTACTCAGGAGGCTGAAGTGGAAGGATTGCCTGAGCCCAGGAGTTTGAGGCTGTAGTAAATCATGATCATGCCACTATACTCCAACCTAAGCAAAAGAGTGAGACCCTGAGTCAAAAAAGAAAGAAAAAAAGTATGACATTTTCAGACAAGTAATTGCTGAGAGGATATGTCACCAACAAATCCTCACTAAAATAATAATAATAATAATAATAATGACAGAAATCTAATTGGGCAGAATAAAATGATCTCAGATGAAAGCACAGTAACGCAGGAAAAAATAAAGAGCAATGGAAAAGGTAAAAATATGGGCAAATAAGAAGGAATACTGGTGGATTAAAATAACAAAAAAATAATATTTAATTGGTTTTAAAATCTGTAGATTTAAAATGCATGACAATAACAATACAAAAGGTGTGAGGGGATAGATAGAATTAAAATGTTCCAAAGTCTCTTATTACCTAGGATTGAATTTTCCCAAAAGAAAATAAAGCCTATCCACAAAATGACTTATACACAAATAAATGTTCAGAGCAGCACTATTAAAAGTAGCCAGACAGTAGTGGGAATCTGCCTGGGGAAAGGGGGCACATCTCATCCACAAAGGTACCTGCATAATGAACATTTATATACCTAACCCAGAATTGTACCCCACATCTTTAAAATAAATTCTTTTTTAAATAGCCAACAACTGGAAACCAATCCAATGTCCAATCTACAGGTAAATACTAGATAAGTTATGGCATATTCATATAATGAAATGCAACTCAACAATAAAAATGAATGAATCACCGATAGACTAAAAACTACAGACGAATTTCTCAGACATAATGTTGAGCAAAAGAAACTAGATTCAAAAGAGCCTATACTATGTAATTCCATGTATATGAAGTTCTAACCAAGTGAAAGTACTGTATAATGCTAAAAGAACAATGGTTATCTTTGGTGGTATCACAACTGAACAGGTGGGGACCTCTGAAAGGTTGCCAATGTTCTATTTCTCGATATGGTTGATTAGATAGATGTGTTCACTTCATGAAAATTCATCTAGCTCCACATTTAGGATTCTGTGCTTTCTATATGTATTTCAAAAAAGTTTAAGAAAACATTTCAGACATACAAAAAGTTATACAAAGAATAATAAATCTCTATCCATCACCAAGATTAAGAAACAACACATGGCCAATATAGTTGATATGTTTACTATTCCCCAACTCCGCCCACTGCTCCATAGATAAACACTTTCCTGAATTTGGTGTCTTCCATTCCTCTGTACTTTTCATTCTTATATAAGCGTCCCTAAACAATATATAGAACTTTTTTTCATGTTCTTAAACTATATGTAAAAGGTAATTTGATTTCTATTTTTAAAAGACCATTCTAAAAGAGGTACAAGAAAACTCTTGGATGACAAAATATTTTCTATTTGATTGAAATATTGGTTTACACGGGTATATACATTTGTCAAAACTCAACAAATTGGACACAAGATCTGTGCATTTAACTATATGCAAATTTTATCTCACATAACAATTTTCTTAAAACAGATCCTTCTAGTTGTTTCATAGGGAATGGTTGGGAGTGGACATAAGTAGAACCAGGAAGGTCAGTTAGAATATTAGAGTAGACCTGGTGAGCCTCAAACTTATCTGGCTGAAAGATAAGGAAGAAAAGACAGGTTGGTTGTAGACACAGTTATTTGAGTAGCTTAACTGTTAACTGGAACTTAACTGATAACTATCCACAGCAGCTTAATCATTAAGTTAACTGGGGGAAGAAGTAAGGCCAAAGAAGGGGATTTTAAAGATAGATCGAGCCATCTTTGCTAGAACACAATGTCATCTTGCTTTTTAGCTGGAAGAAAATAAAAAGCAGGGCATAGATGCAAAGAAGATTGTTTGGTGGTAGAAAGAGAAGGGAGTTCCCATCCAAGGGCTGCTACTTTTTTAATGAATATGAGTCATTACCTGAAAAGGGTGGGGGTGGGATTTTTGAAGTCTGTGAAGAAGAACAGTATGACATTGCACAGGAAAAGCCTGGAAAAGCATCCCAGTATGATGGGGCATGATTAAGAAAAATGAAAGGTTTCATTTTAGACAGGTTAAATGTTCAACAGACATCCAAACCCTTGAAATACAATATGAGCAATAATATTGTTATCTTTAATTATGCTGCTCAAAACCCAGTATAACCTATATTAGGTACTCAAGCGGGAACACAGAGTAATTTTTTCATATTTTCATAGCACATTTTATATCATCTGTCATATTCTACAATGAAACCGAAGAAAACATTCTTTTCAGAAATCCTGCATTTTCCTTTTTCTCATTTTTAGTTCTCTGCGTTCTTGGAAGAAAAGTAATCTGGGTCTTCCAATTTTATCACTTCTTTATTTATATTGAAAGAAATTATACGTTGATCTTCTAAAATAATGTGTAAGGAGAATTCGCCAATGGTGCAATTCTCATAGGTAAAAAGCAACAGAATCTATATGCCTCTATCACCACAATTTGTGGCAATGATAAGGGCGTAGTTAATGAAAATATCAGAACCTCTTGCCAAGGAGGATAAACTTCTTCTCTGTATTTGGGACATGCCTGCCCGTGCTAAGTCACACGCACCCTGTGTGAAGAATGTCTTTAGCTCAAGTACAGGAATCTCACAAGGTGATCGCAGCCAAACCTGAATGTGCTTAGAAGAACAGAAGCACTAGCTGTCATAAGAGATAAATTAATGCAAGCTACCATTTATTTATCATTATCAATTAAGAAATTAAAATGGTTATAAATGCAGTACTTGCAGCACAAATTATTATTTGTTTTATTACACTAAGTTCCATTTAAAAGGACTCCATTCATGCAAGATGCTCTGTTTTGGTTGACTGAGAAGTCGGATTTCTGTGCTTATAATTCATGTATCTACTTACTATGTATATCAAGTGCACTCTCCTAATTCCTGTTGCCACTGCCAGACTGTAAATGCATATGTTTTGTCATTCTTAACTACAGTAATTCAGAACTTCAGCTGCCAAGTTTGGTGCTAATATTCTCACATATGCAGTTCATGCCCTGCTCTTAAAATAATTCCTTGTTTGATGTCAGAAGCTCCTACCGTGATATATAAAATGGCAGAATTGATTAAAAAATAATAATAATCTAAATCATTAGGTGAATAGAACTACGGTGTATTTTTTTCTTGATAATATTCCCTTTCCTATCATGCCTTTTATTTAGTAATTATAAGCCCTGCTCAAGAAGCAAAATAGCAGAACATTTTAAATATCAACAAACCACAAATAGCAGTGTTTTCAAGGACAAAAAAAAAGGAAATTTCGGTTTCATGCTAGACCATCCTTTGAGGCACTGTCATTTAAATGTGGAGCCATCAATTATTTATCCTATGCCTAAATGTTAGATTCACACATTTAAAGGTTCTGTGGAGCCACGAAAAAAAATAAGCAGCTGTTTCTCTGTGTCATTAAACACAACAGGATACTAGCCCTGCACTGGATTTAAAACACTAGCAGAATTCTGAGTGAATATTAAGATTTCCTACTTCAGTTTCAAGTGAAACAAGAGCTGTTCTATGGCCAAAGAACATTGAGACCATACTTCAAGTTGTCAACTGCATAATATTTCTAGGGTCAAAAGACAAGCTCCATTTCAAAATCCTGTCATCTTTGAGTCTGAAGAAACGCTGGGGGTCTCCTAGTCCCATCTGACACCCAAGGCAGGAATTTTTTACCCAGCATCCCTGACAGATGGCCAGCCTCTGTTTCAATTACTCCAGTGGGAGAGTTCTCCAGAGAAGGTTCCCAAGGGATATGAGGAAAAGCTAGAACCAACCACTCAGACCAGGAGTGAGGCTCCAGTCAGTAAGCTTGCAGGATACAGACAGCTTTGCCAAACACCAAAACCAGACTTCCACAAACAAGAATACAATTCGGAATTAGCAATCATAAGGGTGCAATGTCTGACACATGCAGATCCCCCAATTCTGAAACCCCGCAAGGTCCTTTTCATTGGCCTAGGGAGTAGTAGCTCGCACAACTGGAGAAGCGAGGCAGCTACTCTCTGACTGATTTCCTTAAAGTAAGAAGTGACTCCTTAAGGCTCGCAGCAAGGGTCTGTCAAGGCAGAGAGCATCAGATCCCTTCCTTTCGAAAACCAAGCCGAGGGACGACACCCTGGTAGAATGGCTAAGGCTTAAAATACTCTTAACTTTGGTCTGAAAATCGTTCCTACAGTCAACCAGCAGATCTCGGGCTTTTCTTTTAAAGCTGTATATAGACTCTGCTGCGACTGAAGTTGGGTGGGTGGGGGTTGTTCCAAGCGCAGCCCTTCATCCCGCCTTGAAGTCTGGCTTGATCCTCCCAGGAAGGGCGAGCGCGCGGGGCCGGGCCGCCGGCGCGTCCCCGGCCGGACCCCGGGACGACGGGGCGGCCCCGGCCGGCCCTTACCTGTCGATGCTGATCACGCACAGGGTCATGATCGAGGCCGTGCAGCACATGACGTCCATGGCGATGAAGACGTTGCAGAAGAAGTGGCCAAAGATCCACTTGCCCCCGATGAGGTCGGTGACGCTGACGAAGGGCATGACCGCCACGGCCACCGAGAGGTCGGCCAGCGCCAGCGACACGATCAGGTAGTTGGAGGGCTGGCGGAGCTTCTTGACGAAGCACACGGAGATGACCACCAGGCAGTTGCCCGCGACCGTCAGCAGCGTGATCAGCGTCAGGATGGAGCCGATCACAACTTTCTCGGCTCTGCCGTAGTTGATCTGCTCGCCACAGCCGG